TCTTTTGCTTATTATTATTTTTGATTTATTATTTACTTAACTTTGACTTACCCAACTAGTGAAAGTCATCTTTTGTATTTTAATAAATCATTCACACTTTTGAATTATAAAATACTTGTCCAACTAGTAGAAGTATTAGAATCTATTTCTTTTTATACTCTCTTCTAATTATTTAGTATTCAACTCTTTTAAGTACACACAGTTATTATTATTACTCTTATATAATTCTTAATTAAATATTATAATTAGTTCATATTTTGTCTATTAATATAAGAATAGTAATAATACTATATTTAATAAACTTCAAAATTACTATATTTATAATATAATTTGACAAATAATTATTTAGTAAAATAAACTGAATCATTCATTAGCTCAAATATTAGATTAATAACTAAAATTATTTTTTTATTACTTATAAATATTGTTACAACTTGATTATGAAATTCATCTGATTTGATTATAAAAGTAGTATTTAAAAAGTTTAAGTTATTATAATAATTAATAAAATCTATAATCAGAAAATCTGGATATTTGTCCAATAGTTCTGATATAATTGTAGATATAATATTAAAAAGTACAGCTTGATCTTTTGAATTCTGGATATATTTGATATTATATTGCTTTAATATGATAATTTCTTCAATCTTATAAGTATTTATTATAGAACAAATTTATTAATTAAAATAAAATTAAATATAAACAAAATAAAAAAGAAATAAAAAACAATTTTTTATCTTTTAAATTCTAGTATGCTTGAATAATGTAGCTTTCTATCATATTTGAGAGTATTTTGAATTGTCTCAAAATTGGATGCAACTTAGGTAAAAGTTAGTTGAATTTTGTTAATAGATGTATTGGAGATTATATTGAGAATCTTTGTATTATTCATAAATTCTGAAAAATAAGCAATATAAGTTAAAATGCAAATTTTTTCAAGTTCATATTTGCTTTTTTGAACTTATTTACCTGTCACCATTACTGAAGGAGTTGTATTTGTAGCTCTGCTTAAAATTGATTTTCTAAATGATATTGCCATTCGATGTGATTTTTGCTGGATGTGGTCAGAATTATAATCATCATGATATTCAATATTATACAGATTGAGCGACTTGTCCTGGAGAACTACAGCCTTTTCAGTTGCACTTGTCCTTGCAACAACCATTCTATAAGAGAAGACAAAATTAGTATTTTGAAAAATTAATCTAAAGAAAAATGAACCTGAGTAGAACATTCAAGATATTTTATATATGTATTCTTTGAATGAGAACATTGTTTTGCATCCTTGTCTACAAGTGTGATAGCTTTCACATCTCCTGTATTTTCGATCCTTGTGTATACAGTCCTCTGATAAAATTTCATAACCTTTACTCAAATTACCATTTCCTAATAACATTATGTCAAACATGTATAAATCTAGTACTGAGGGCACTTCTGTAAGTGGTACTTGTGTGCATCGAATGTTTGGCAGTAATGGCCGCCAAACTATACTTTTTGCCTTGGACTTGATGATACTAGTGGATGAGAGAGGTCGTCCATTATTAGTGACAAGTAATTTGGTATTAACATCTTAACGTGATGCTATTACCTCCTGATATCAACGCGATTTCATGATTTCACATGTCTTGTCACCTGAATTGTTTCAAAAAGTATATGGTGGCAACAAGCCTTCTTGTTTTTTTTTTCACTGAAGTTGCACGTTTTTACATATCTCTTGTTCCGAGATAGTGAATTTTACACGCAGAAGCGGATTTCACATGATGTGGCTAATAAAAAGCGGATTTTTCTATTTTGCAACTCGGGTTTCACCCTGTCATGGCCAACAAAAAGCGGATGTTTCTATTTTGCAACTCGGGTTTCACATAGTCATTGCAAAAAAAGCGGATTTCACATGACATAAATAAAAAAACAGATTTTACATGACCCTGTTGTTATCTTTTATATTAAAACGATAACAGAATTGACGTGAATTCTGAAACGATGTATAACATAGACGCGGACATCAAAGTCACGGACATAAAAAATGCCGCAGACCGTGTCCATGCTTCTGTCTCATGACAACCTTGCCTGACGGTAATCATGGAATCGATATTAACCGTGTTTATCGTTATTATTACTTGCGCAGAATCTTATATAACAAAAATCGCAAAAATGTTATTATTTATTAGAATTATAAAAAAGTTCAATACTATTATGCCCACTTTGAGACATCAACTTAAAATCTTAAAATTATCCGATAATTTATATATATTATGAGCTTGACATCTCAATTGAGCATAGTAATTTTTTTTTATAAAAGAAGACATATCGATATCTACCAATTTTGTAGTTAAAATCACAACCTCCTCACACGCTTTCCCATTATAAAGTATAAGAAATTTGACCTCCATATAGTCACACCTACCAGATTTCTGGTTCCTGACCCTGTGATTATAACGAGGTACGACTGTAATTTCATATTTCATTGACTTTACAATTACATACGAAGTTGCCGGATGATAACGGGGGGAGGGGAGGGAAATGATCATATCCATTTATTCGCGGATGATGTATATGTAGTAGGTTTAATAAAAATTCAGATGTGATCTTGCAGGATGATTTTTGACTTATATTATGACATTACGACATTATGGCTATAAATTTTTGTCGAATCATCAGGTGAATCATGAACGAGAATTTGCCTCGTGCGGGCGAGCTACCGCTAACATTCTTTTATTTCTCGAACTCACCAATTTCCGAGCCGTGTTACTTTTCATAACCAAAATCATGTCGCTCGTCACTTTAAGCTGTTTAGGTTTGGGTAAAACCGTTAAAAAGAATGTTTTCGCTATTGATATTGATGAAAATAGGCTAGTTAGCCATCTCTGATTGAATGATAGGATCTTGAATTTGATTGGGCAGTTTAGAACCAATGCAGAACCCTTAACATCTCTACATCTAAATTAAAATGTGGAATTAATTATTTAATTTGGTGAACTATTGAAATATTTTGTGTGTGTATGTATTGAAAACAATTTCGATTCCAAGAAACGTGTTGGAAGATTTGATCCAAAAAACGGGGGCTTTCCCCAAATCTTTAGTGCTTTTCTTTAATGGTTTACGTTTATCGATTGGAGCTATGGTGCGCACCATCTAAAGTCATCAAACATTTATCTTCTATAAAATGTATAAACTTCTCAACTAAGAAGTATATTCAAAATTTAATCCGTAAATATGGTAGAATAAGTCTTTTTCCACCATATTTACAGATTAAATTTTGAATTTACTTCCTAGTCGAGAAGTTTATACATTTTATAGAATATAACTGTTTGATGCCTTTAGAAGTGCGCACCATAACTAAAAAAAAAAAAACTAAAAATCGCAATAATTCGATAAATATTATTCTGATTAAAATGAAATTACTACCGAAATGTTCGTCTTATTGAGACGACCAAAATTATAAATTCTGATCACTGGTTATTGAGAAAATAAGTTTTGAAAATTTTACAAACCTGCAATCGGGAAAATGACTTGCCATGATGCGCTCATATTAGATTTTGGCAAATTCATCAGATTTTTATTTTTTTTTAATTGTTATTATCTTGCTAGAAATCGCACTTTATTTATATATTTGGCTTCTATAAAAAATGTTAATATTATCGTTATAGTAAAATTTACATAACGATCTCACCGCCTTTACTTTCCGTCGGAACTGTATCATGCTGATTCTCGATGCCCTGTAAGATCATTTTACAATTATTAACTTTTCTCTTCACAAGCAATATGAGATGTTGCTTTAGAACACAATATATTGATGTCCCATTCAATTCGTCTAGTCAAGATGAATCGAATGGTTGTATTTTGTATGAATCAGATCACTGGACGTCGAAATATTGCATCCTAAAATGACCAACGCATTATTTTGTCGTTAGAATCGGTCACTTAGGACACAGACCTACAATAATCTGATTCGTATACATGTATCACCACTACAGTTGACCAAAGGGTTTGTTGGTAAATGAATGTAATTGTTTTTTCAATAAATTTGTCGTGAAATTGGTCAGTAATATGTTTTGACACTAATAGACCAATGGAAATTATATACTATGCACTAGAATTAGGATTCGTTATGTAGTTTAAAATCTCATTTTTGCTTGATTTAGAGGGGTCGGTCATTACCGCACTGTATAAATACATTCGGTAGCCACGACCAGTAAACAAATTTAAATCTTTAAGGGGTAAAGATGGTCTTCGGTCCAGTGTTTAAAAT